CAAATACATAAGTAAAAAATTCAGGTAGTGTTGCTTTTCTGGATTATTTCATAGAAAATTCCATGAAAGTAGTAGTAGTAGTTGTAGTTTTTATCATCGTCTTCTTCTTCTTCTTGTTATTATCATCATCATCATCATCATCATCATCTTTTATTTCTGCTTTATCCACATTTTCTTCAGGGTCCCAACCAGAGATCTAATATCAGAAATGGCTTCATGACATCTTCCATTGATCATTTTTGTAAAAAAAAAACAAAATAACCTAAGATCACACATATTTTATATAGACAAAGCTCTTTGTAATGTGTGAGCTGTACTTGTGAGTACAATTTTTTGTATTTCTTTAAGGCATGGGTAGTTGTTGTCATACTACTACTACTACTACTACTACTACTACTACTACATCATCATCATCATCATCATGGCCTGGTATGATTGGAGGTTTGCTGCACAGTTGAGTGTCTGACCAGCTACTTCCATATATCTCAGTTGCAGACCAATGTATGAGGCTCTGTGAATGGTCTTCCATTCCATCCAGTGGCTTCCAGAGCTCATTTTTCTACTGTCTGCCTCTTTCTTCTTTTCTTTAGTCCTAGGGTTGGTACCTTGTAAGATGGTAGTGGATAGATTGTTCACATATGTTGAGACATTGTTATTAGCTAAATTCTGATCTGAAATTTTCCCTGTACAATCTTTTATGTGATTAATATTCATCACTGGATTAAGTGCATTATCAATGAATTAGATTATATTGGGAAATAACGAAAGTTTTATTGATGTACCTTTGTAAATTGTAAATAAGCCAGATATAAAATGAAAATACAAATAGTGATTATTTAATATGTATTTACAATTGGCAATTACTTTTGAGATATTAATTTTTGTTAGTTAAAGTTCTTTTCCTATTAATCTTCATAATAATATTAACATCAGTTATCTAAACTTAGAAAAGAAGAAATTTCCTAATGTAAAGTTATCAATTCATTTGAGTTTTTCATTACAAACGAACAATGACAGCAAATATCTACAATTTATTGTCAATTCTTTATTTCACAATGAAATTAAAAAAAAAAGATTAATATTTTAAAAATTTATAAACAAATAAATCAGAAAGTAACATCCCACTAGTTTCTGGAGCTTTGCAGACATGTATACAAAACATCTAATTTTGTTATTAAATGTATATTTTTTATTATGTGAAGATAAAGTATAAATTTCTTATGGTGTCAGAAATGTCTGACAAAAGTAAATTGTAAAAATAAGCCATCATTGAGCTGCAAAATAATATTGTTAACAGAAAAAAAAGTCTGTGTTACTCTTTATATAATTCTTAGAATACATTTACCAAAGCCTGGGCGTCACATACAAAGAGGAAATATGTTATCGGATTTGTAATTGCCTGTTTATACTTCATCAATCATTAAATGATTTTACGTTTTGCTCTTGTAAACATGCTAAATCAAAAATGGCTGTTAGGAAGATATTTATTAGAAAGATTTGTAAAACTTTCACCATCATAATTCATTTTGATTAAATGTTTACACAATTAAATTTCATTTACAACTGGTAATCAGCAGAAAAAAGGAATGAAGTTATTCTTTAAAGAGTGTTAAACATTTTAGTTGTATTCATATGGCTATTATTATAAACAGTTTAAGTACAATATTTGTTGCAATAAAAAAGTGTAAATCTTGTCTCTTAACTGTAAACAATTTTGCTTGGAAACTATTGCAATTCTTATGTCTCACTCTAAAGCAGCAGTTCACCAATGGTACAATTTGCAACAGAAGAGGATAGCAGGTTAGGCAGAATGATTAAAGACCATCAAAAATTTATAAACAGTTTCAAAAAATTCATATACCACAAATAAATATGATTTCAAAATTTAAAATATTATGGATTACTTGTTGCATGCATGAGTCCCAGTATAAATACTTATAAATAATTAATGACCAATTTTACCATTGTGATATATTTGCATTATATCAAGAATTAAGAATATATTAACTAGGCTGTGCAAATTGGAGGAGAGAGTTATCAATGATAATTTTCTGACTTTAAATCAGTGATTATCTCCCTTTAAACCACGCTCAGTTATTTATTTTTAAATGTAATTTTTATCACATAAAATTTAGTGAGGCATGAACAAAATTTCATTACGAAAATATGGCCCAGAGAAGAAAATTTGGGTACCACTGCTCTAAAGGAATAACATTTCACATTCAATGATATAGGAACTTAAAGTAATGTGTGTGTTGCAATCACATTGCACTTTATAGGTAATGTTTCAGATCATAAAAATACGATAAGCATTTTAGATCTTGTCTGAAATAATCTAGTAAGGTCAAATTAAGATATCTACAATGAAATAAAAATTTACTTACTATAAATATCAGAATAAAATGAATTAATTTGCACTTTAAGATCTTTTTTTAATTAAATTGAGATAATATTGTTTTTGCAAATTGAGATAATGAGATTAAAATATTCCTAGCCAAAGTGACCAAAATATCTATAAATGAAATCAACTAAATATAAAGTATGTCTGCAATAGTGTAAATATGTAATTTTTCCAAACAGTTCAATATCATTGGTGAATGATTCAGTAATCAAATTAATTAAGACAAAATGTCCTCCTATATTAATTCTGTCAGGTTCTAATCTGCACTTTTTATCTCCATTTTTGGAAGTTTCAAACACAGTCAGAGAGTATAATTTTTATTTTGTGATTAATAACTAATAATGAAATCAGATGACAAACATTATTTTTGTGGTAATATAATTAGCAAATTATTATGACTATTTTAATACTAAAATCTGAGAGTATTTAGAAAGAAATTATTATATAAATGTTTATCTACCTCTTCAATTTATTGTCCACTATTTGATAAATTAGCAGTTCAAGTTTTAAGAAAATAAAGCCATCATTTACTAATTTGTTTATCATAAAGACTGAATAAAGATTTCCTCATTTCTTTTGCACAGGTTAAGTAAAGAGTGCATGATCCTGGATCTATTTATAAACAAAGTTCATCATACACACTTCTTAAGTTTGGTTTAATTATTTTTCTTTATTGTCATATCAACCTCTATGGGTTATTTACTGATGAAATCTAAATATTTTGAATGCAATTTTATCCCTTCAACTGCAGATATTTTGTGCATAATTTCATACTTTCAGAGTAGACGCATCTTATAGATATATAGATATATAGATGTTGTATTCTAAGTGTTATATAATTTTGGTATAAACCTATTTCTTTAATGTAGGACCTTATGCTAATGGTTTCAGTATTTTTAAAGAATTTTCTCATGTTGTTTTCCTTGTGGCATTACAGGGGTTAAGTGAGTACATTCAGTTAAAATGTGTTTCACTGTGAGTGCAGTTTGGTATGTTGTACATATTGGTTAATCTTTGTTCTTCAGCAAGTATGAATGGATGAGGTATGGGTATGACATATGTACAGATGTGAGTTAACCTCATTATTTCTTCCTTTTCTATGCATTTGTTTCCATTCACCTCAGAATTGTTTGATTGTGAAAAGTTTATTATTTGTATTGTTGGTCTAGGACTTTTGCCATTTCTGTTGAATTTAACTGTTTATTTTAAGTTTTAGGTCCATATAAGCATAAACATTTCTTAGTACATTCATCTTGTGTAGTTGATCAAATGTTTTCATTCCCCAATATATCATCCATTGATGTTAAATGATGCTCTTTAGTAAGCCTTGAATATAAAATGGTCTGTGTCTTGATTTGCTAACAGTTACTTCAACTTAATCTTACACCTAGCAGGGTGTGATGAAGATATTGTACATATTTTATATATTTAAATTTAATTTTTAACTACAACTCTAAGAAATTAAGGTTTTTTTTTTAAATTTTATAATCCTCCATTATCTCTTTTTTACTAAAAATGATATATTTAGTGGATGCACATGTTTGATTAGACATCCCTACTTTACAGTGTAATTGACATCTACTAGTCTGGGAATTCACTTCTTAATAATGAAATAGTACCTTTTAGCAAGGTTTAAACATGCATCCACTTCTTACATTTTCATGCAAGGTGTACGCTAGACTACTCAGCCATGAAACTAGTTTACTCCCATATAAAGAGGATGAAACCAATTTTGAACCTGCATCTCCTTTCTCATTATATTTCATTTTCAGCTCTCAAACTGAGGAATTAATGAATTTTTATTTACAATCCAACACTATTTCTTATTGCTATAAACATTATATTTAATGTATAGATTTGTTTATATAGAAATCCTTGTTTTTTTTAAACAGTGTAATTGATGTCTACTGGTTTGAGTATTCAAGTCTTACTAAATAAATATTGCTTTTTGACAGGGTTTCAACCTGCATCATTCTTATACCGGGGAAACTACTTCAAGCCAGGTGTGCTTTAAACCACTCAATCATGAAATATTTTTGTTTCTCTTACATTTGTTTTCCCTAATATAAAGGGGACACAGGTATGAACAATGCCTAAAAATTACATTTCAAGATAAGTGACTGCCTAGGCCGGTAGACATTAAAATAAGAGTCTCCTCAAATATTCTATTAAATAATAAATAAGTATTCTCAATCTGAAAATAAGAAGAATGAAACTTTATTCTTTAGTGAGAGTCAAATATTTTATTTCTATTTATATGGATATTTCTATTCATTTTAAAAAAATAATAAATCATTATTAAATAAGACTACAACATTTTTTAATCAATGCTAATGTATGCATTTTAGCCAGATAATCTGCAAAGGAAATATAGAATGGTTGCAAACACCTTTATAGATAGTCATAAACCTTGACTATCAAAGGTTTTACATATACAAGACTAACCACCTACAAAAGATGCAACTTTTTTCAAATTGAATATGAAACCAGTTTTTTTTTTTTTTCCCACCAGTGTTAATAACTTCTGTCTGAATGTTTGGGATGTGGAGTTATCATTATTTATATTATTAACAATTAAACTAATGTCCTAGGGTTTACAGCCACATCATGTTAAAACACCTGTTCCCATTAGTTCACCAAAGTTAAGCAACATCATGTCTGGTCAGTACCTAAATGGCTAACCACTTGGGAATACCAGGTGCTGTGAGCTTGGATGTACTGGTGGTGTCATGGAAAATGGTTTGGAATTGTTAGTCAGAGAGCTGAGTTCTAATTCCAGTTGGAGTTGTTATATTCATTTATGCACAAATACCTTTGAGAAAGGTGTGAAACCACATTATCTCCCCCCATGTATGGGTTAATTAGTAAAAATTGTATCACTAAATCATTATTATCTCAAAAAAAATTCTAAAAATCTAAAAATATATTCTGACTTGTGTTTATGATGAAGTCACTCAGGGCCAGCGCTAGGGTCTCACCTTGCCCTGAAACTTTGGTACACTACCCCCCTCTCTGCAACATGTTGATTTCAAAGTTTCCTAACCTGGGAGCCATAAACCCTCAAAGAAAAATTTGGCAGGGAAGGGTAGTGCTTTTTTAAATTTCCAGAAATCAGGGAATTATTCAATTTAAATGAAAATTTCAGTAAATATTCATTAATTATTTACTTTTATAATGAATAAGTTTTTTATTAAAAAAAATCTGAGAAAATGTAATAACCAGCAAAATTTTCATGACTAAATTTTACTCAAAAACAAATGTTTAAGTTGCAAATTTTACATTTTCATAAAGATTAATCACTGACATATCTCTACTGAAAAAAATAGTTTTTACAAAGATTCCAACACAACATAAATGGGACTGTCTTTAAAATTTGTTTTAAAAACAGTATTTTTTGTGAAAACTTTTCATGTGTTGATATTTTTATTTTTTAAGCAATCACTTTCTCAGTTTTATCTTTCTAGAAATGTAAACAAATAGGGACTAGAAATTTTATTTTAAATACTAGCTGTGGACTTCTGTTTATTAAAATTATTAAAATAAAATTTTAAAAAATCGGAGATCTTCCTTGGATGTTTTCAGAATAAAAAATGATTTTACCAACATATATTACCCTCTTCATTGATTTAAAAGAAATGTTCAGAAAAAAAATTGCAATTTTAAAAAATAAGTGCCACTGAAATTAGCACTTCTGCAACAGTAGGCATCATTGATAGGTTAATAAGTACCAGCCATGTCGATTATTATAATTGATGATTGACAATATAACAGGTAGAAAAAAAGTAAAAATTACAAAAAGCAAAAAACACTGCTGAAACTAGCCCTTTTGGGGCTCCAACCTTGTTAGTGGGGGGGGGGTCCTGCATAGTATGTACTACACCAGTCATGCAGATATATGATATATATTATTAGTTGATGACTGACAATGTAACAGCAGTTTAAATATAATTTTAAAAATGGCAGATGGCCATAAGAGAGTGCTGACAAAAAAATGACAGAGGCCACAAAAAACGATCCCCCCACCATCCTGGTTGGTGGTTTTGGGGAAAGTTGTGCTGACCCTAAAGTCACTCCTGCACAATGGAGAATGGTACAGAGGCAGTGCAGATGGAATCATTAGAGTAAGTATATGATCAAAGATTCAGCACCACAGAAAAGACTAGACAGCATAATGACTATTGACTTTTAGTTTGGTATTCTTTGGTTTTTGTTAGTTTAGATATGCTTATAAAATTATTCAAAAGCTTGTTTTGCTCTTCTCTCTGATGTTAAGTTTGGCATCAGTGCATATGACACATTCAAAGTAAGTAAAATTCTGGATTGTGATCATAAATAAAATAAGTGGGTGGTATACTTGTTGGGGTGCAGGTTGATGGAAGATGATCATTTATTCAGACTAAATTAAAGAATTTGGTAGCATTTGCAAAGCAGGATGTTATACATTGCAGAGATAACTCCAAATAAGAGATTAGTTTCACATTGTTTATGAACTGAAGTTCCTTTATTAATTAAGGATGAGCTGTTCACTATGGTACCTATACTTTTTTTTAATTTAAGCACAGTACTAGACTAGCATCAAGATCTTATCAATATTTACAGCTGAATTGGCTAGATGCTAACCGTTTCTTTCCAGCCAACTTTGATCTGCAAAACTTTAAATGCAATGTCAATCACTATCTACTGTCCTCTTGATTACTTTTTCCTTTTCCTGCTCATTATTAATGTTTCTATTCTTAATTTTTTCACATCCTGTAACCCCTTGTGTCTTAGTGACATTTCTGGCTTGCATAGGGTGATACAGATTGAAAAGAAAAATAAATGATAATATATTCTTAATGTGGGCTTAGTGCTGTTTTAAGCAGAAAACATTGCAATTATATCTATATACATTTTCATTATTATTCATTTCTGTTAAGGCCTGATGAATTTATAATCATATAAATGTTTCAAATATTGACAATATTTATCATCATTATTATTATTATTATTGTATATCAGAAATAAACAAAATTTATTTGCTTATATAATGTTGATAAGAAGAAAAATTTCACTAGAATTTATTTTCATGCTTATTAGGAAAATGCAGTAATTTGCATTACTGTAAACCCATATTTTAAATAAAAGTTCATATTGTATAAATGAAGCATAATTTAAAACAGATGGCAGACAAAATGGAAAATTCCAAACATGAGTAAGAATGTATTTAAATGCTTACCAGGAAGATATATGAATTATGCATGAAAATCTATAATTATAATAAATACAAATCTAAAACTGAAACTAACCATTTATTAATGAATTTAGTTATGTGACTGTTATTTCCTAAATAATGTAGCATGCCAAAAAAACAATCCTGTATGAGTTACTGTTAACATTAGCCTTATCGTAAGATATTATCATGTAAGAAGAATTAGAAGAGCAATAAGAGAAGATTGTCATTATTTGCTTCAACTGACTTTGATGTGTAAAGGAATTGCAGATAATCTACAATAATCTTGTGGGAAGATCAAAAATTGTTTCATGGTTGTCTTGTTCCAAATTGCAGGGCTTTTATCAAATAGTCATAAAGTTTTGATGAGTAGGATACACTATGTAACAAAAGAGTCTTTTTATCTTGAACAGTGATACACTCATATTGAATGCTAGCTTAAATATTAAAGAATAATTTGTGAATGCAGCACTCAAGCAAATAGTGTAAAATCAACCAGGATAGTTCAATTTAAATATATCTTAACTAATTTTAGTCACTTTTCCACTGCCACAACATAGTTTTCCTGGGCCTTTTTTATAAATATTTTATGGTAATATGTTCTGATGAACTTTCCTCTATGGTACCTAGATTTTATGAATTTAAGCACAGTAATTGATGTTCTCAGTTGTATTTGAATGTTTAAATTTTAAATTTCAAGTTTAAATCATTCATATTTTGGGTTAAAAGTAATATATTTAATATTTAATAGGCAAGGTGTTTTTTTTTTTTTTTTAGCTAAACATGTGAGCAATGATGAGGCTTTGGAGATATTGGAAACAGAGAGGAAACTTAACATCAGGAAGAGGCAACTGAGATTCCTGGGACACGTAATGAGGAGAGAGGGCTTGGAATATCTGCCACTTACAGGACGGACAGAGGGAAAGAAGGACAGGGGAAAGGAACGTCTGATATACTTAAGTGGATGGCAGAACAGGATCTGGGAGAAATAACAAAAAGATAAAACTTTATTAAGAGCTGCAAGGGACAGGAAGTGGTGGAGGGCCATGATTGTTTATGTCCTGAAGGGACACGGCACATAAAAGAAGTAGAAGACGACTAGATTGGCATCAAGTTTTCATCATTTTACATTTGAAATCGTTACATGTAATTGTTTCTTCTCTTGCATTTCTCGCTTCTGAAAAATGTCTTCTGGCTTTTTGCTTCTCAGTCAACTTTAATCTACAAAAATTTAAATGCATTGTCAATTGTTATCTTCTGTCTTCTTAATTCTTGCCTTTTATTGTTCTTTTGCCTTAATATTGTTTTTTTCTTGTATTCTCTCACTCAGTAACCCTTTCTGTCTTAGTGGCTTTATTGCCTTGCATGATATGAAATTAAAAAAAACGAACTACAACTGAAATTTCCTTTTGAGATATATATATATATATATATATATATATTTCTTTTGCATTTTGATAATGTTCTCACCTATTTTTTTTTACTGTAATAACAAAATCAATTCCATTAGAAAATACAATAGATACATTTTTTTAATTAATTTCAATGAGAAATATTTAAGATTTCTTATTAATATTGCATTGTTCAATGATTAAGCTACTATTGAAATTTCAGATTTCTAAGGCCTTAATAATCTTCAAATTGGAATATTACCTCATTCTGTAATCAGCTTATACCTTGATTTTTAGGTGAGTCTCCATTTTCTTGGAAGTTCCAGACTAAAACTGCCATTATTTATTTTAATTTTGGACAAAGATCAATAATTATTAAATTAGAAAATTCAGTAAAATATACTTTACTAATTTTAAGTTACTTTGAATTCATAAGAAATTAATCTGCAGTTAAATAACACATACATTGAGTCTGTATTTGAGAAAAGCTTTATTTTGAATGTTAACCTCTTAAGCACAGAGTAAAACAATCCTTCACAGCATTTGTAGAGACAAGAATAAATTAACTTTTCAACCATCAGTCAATTCTTAGAGTTGTCTTTACCAGAAGAAAAACTTTGGTAGATCATTGATAAACAGTGGTAGAAGATATTGATAAGTTTAAAATATTAAACAGCAAAACAGAATTGCCAATAAATGTGAGATAAGACTGTTTTATTGTTTAATATTTTAAACATATAAATGATCCTTTTTGAGTTGATTGAATAGCTGGCCACTTAAGAGGATTTATACCACCTTTGTCCATTTGATTGCAATTTTCAGCAAGTATCTGCTTCTTCATGCTATATACTGACCATGCTTGGTATTTGTTGTCTTTTTGTTCTACAGGCCATGTACCTTCAGGAGATGTGCAATCATGGTTCTCCGAAACTTCCTTACTTTTGTAGCTCTGAGTAAATTTTATCTTTTTACTATTCTACTAGTCCCTATTCTGTTAACCATTTACACAAGCTCATTAAGTAGGTTATGTGCCATTTTCCATCTGACCATCTTGCCTTCAATATATCCTATGAGTATCAAATTCTCCATGACCTCTTTCTTCAGTATG